CTCTGTGAGCTACCATAAGATCTTGTATATATTTCCCTGTGCTATACAGTCTTGTTTATCTAGTCTAAACTTTGAAATCCCAGTCTGTCCCTTCCCACCCCTGGCCCCCTTGGCAACCACAAGTTTGTATTCTATGTCTATGAGTCTGTTTCTGTTTTGTATTTATGTTTTGTTTTTGTTTTTGTTTTTAGATTCCACATATGAGCGATCTCATATGGTATTTTTCTTTCTCTTTCTGGCTTACTTCACTTAGAATGACATTCTCCAGTAACATCCATGTTGCCGCAAATGGCGTTATGTTGTCGGTTGAATAGTATTTATACAATGGAATACTATTCAACCAACAACAAATGCCATTTGCGAGTTTTGTTTTAATACAGCAGCCAGAGCAGTCCTTGAAAATGTGTCAGATCATGTCACTCATACTGACAATCCTGCGATGGCTCCATTTTTCTGAGGGGAAGGCCCATGCCCTGGACCTGTCACCTCCTCTCACAGCTCCCCTCCTCTCCTTCCACCTCAGCCACACTGGCCGGGACTATTCTGGAACACACAAGACCCACTCCCACCTTGGACTTCCTCGCAGGTGGTTCTGTCTGCCTGAGAGGCTCTCACTCCTGGACATCTGCATGACCCCTTCCTTCAAATCTTAGCTCAAGGTTACCTCCTCAGTGCTGCCACCCTATTTAAAATAGCACCCCACCTGCCATGGCTCATCCTCTTTAGCGTACTCTTTGTTTCTCCTCTAAAGCATGTATCACTTTCAAAGATCCTAGACGATTTCCTTTTTAATGGGTTTATTACCTGCCTTCCTCATCACCATCCCCTAGAAGATCTTTGTTGTTCTAGCAGGGATCTTGTTCACTGATATGCTCCAAGCATGTAGAAGAGTGCCTGGTACAAAGCAGGCACTCGATATATATCTGCTGAATGAGTGAATTTCCTAATCTAAAAAACTGCTGACACAGATCAATGTTTTCTTTACTTACAAAATGTGACTGTCAATCAGCTTAATATTTAGGACACACATATATATATATATGTATATGAAGGGAAAGAAGGCACATTCTAATTTTGATGACAGTAAACTTCCATATTCTTCAAGAGATAGAGAACTATGAATTTGTAGATATATGAAAAGAGCTTCTTACACATTCTTCCCCCAATACATCACAGAAAGGGTAGTGAAACTACGCAGAGCAGACAGACACTAAGTAATGCAGTCCCTGTGAAGGACTCATGTCTGTAGGTTGGTGGCTGATATAACTCATGTTTTGACTTCAGGTCAGAAAAGTGAAAATGATCAAAACAGGGTAAATGAACACACCCAATCATTCTTCCCCAAGAGTGCCTTCTCTAAGCTAAGCAGCTCCAGCCTCCCTTCCTGCCTTCTGGTCAATGCTGCTGATTCCACTCTCTCTCAGGAAGTTTCTGGAGCAAAAATTTTACCTTCTATTTCTTTTTCATGTTGGAAATGGGGAAGGAATGCCACTAATTACGTGTTATTTTGTACTACCCCAAATTTTTGCCCCAATTCTCTGTAATCTATTCATTGTGGATTTTGAATTTCCTCATTTTTTAAACTATAAGGCAACATTAAAAAAAAAAGCCTAGAAATATATTCACAAAAACCCTATTCAACAGAAGTAAATAGCCAACACTCACCTCTGTCTGAACCATTCCATGTCTTTGTAGTCTCATGCAGCGCACTAAATCAGAGATGTCAAACTGCCAAAGGACACAGAATCTGATGTTATATAAAAAGGGTAACTGAATTTGACCCCCAAAGAGTCACCAAGGAGTGGCTTATAAAGATTTCTGCACCATAATCTCCTTCCCCTTCTAGCAGTCCTGGGAAACTGTTCTGTTCACAATAAGTTGGTGAGCTGACCTTGCTAACATTTGATAATTTTATTTATAATTTCTCTAAGAACTATGAAGGCTATTCTGTTGGAAAATCCCCAAAAGAAATTCTCTTCTCTCTGAAATTTGACTATTTTCTAATATCTTCATTAAAAAAAAACAAGGCAAATTATTTTCCCTACATTTTGCTATTCAGAATAAAATTCCTAATCTTTTCATTTTCACTGATATTTAAAAGTTTGAAAACAACAGACTGTTTCATTTTTGTCTTACTTAAATGATCATGGGAGATATGAATGTGAAGAGCAAGATAGCACTTTTTTTTTTAAACAAATTCTTCAAGAGACAATGATTTTAATTACATATTACGTACAGTAAGATATTCTAACATTTTAAGTATGATTTATATTGATTTAGGTTTTAAGTAAGATTTGTCAATTTATCAATTTGTATAACAGAAATATATTTCCCAACTATAGGAAATAATAACAAAAAAGAATATAAGCTTTTCCATTTCAAAAATAGATTTTCTTTTGTGCTTCAATATTTCTATCCCTAAACAACAATGACTATCTTACACAAGCCTAATGACTATATAGAGTAAAATGCAATAATGCATAAGGGGCTTTGAGCACATGGTTAATAAAACCCAGTAAAATACATATGTTTGAGGTATTACTTCTTCTTCATGATGGCGTATGCGGTTTTGAATGTTTTCTAAAAAACAATTTTATGTAGTGAGAAAATTAAGTCATTTATACATACTTTATAAATAAAATAAATTCTGAGATCACAACGCATTATTAAAAAATTGGACTCCATGTTATTTCTAGTCAAATGCTTGTTTAGCCTATAACTTGTACTCACTTCAAGATCTTGACTGATTAATCCTAGAACCACATCTATGCATATCAGGGTCCCGGAACGTCCAATGCCAGCGCTGCAGTGTGTGATGATGGGGCCCGATCTGTGAATGTGTCTCATGTAAGAGATAAAAGTGAGCAGGTCGTCTGGCTGAGAAGGTGTATCATGGTCTGGCCAGGCAATGAAGTTCAGATGAGAAATATGTCGCACCTCTCCTGTCTGAAATTATGTGACAGAACAAGTAGATAAAGGCATATTATGTTGCCCACATATAACTGCCTCTTAATATTATTTTATCCTTTTAAATTCTGACTTGTCCATTGGACAAGTAGAAGAGAGAAGAAGACTCCATTAAACAGCACACAGAGGGCCTTTATCAAGGAAGCTGCTAGGTCCACACTTTAAATATTGGTAAAAACTACTTTTTGGAAACTCTAAAAACAAACTACAGTTTGATATGAACAACCACCTTTTTGTAATGATCCCATTTCAAATTCACCTCAGATAAAAGCCCCAATCATTGCAGTGGCTTATAAGCCCCACACGATGTGGCCAGGCTACCTCTCAGACCTACTGTCTTCGTCCTGGCCATGTCACTCCGGCTGTAGGGACTTTGAAAAATACGGGGCACAGTTCAGTCTCAGGGCCTTTGCACTTGCTCTCTTGGACTGAAATGCTCCCCTCTTGCTCGGATATCCCTGTAGCTCACTCAAGTCCTTCGTGGCTTTTCCACAGCATCATCAACAGCAGTATCTTCTCATTAGGAAGTAAGCTCTCTGAGGTCAGGGATTTCCTTTTGTTTGTGTCGTTAACTGCTGAACCCCTCGATTCCATAACAGGGCCTAAGCTCTATCAACACGTGTTGATTAAATAAACAAATCCTTTAAGGAATACTGAACCACTGTGCTGGCATCGGCAACGGGTAGGCTGGTATAAAGGAATGACGAGATGTAATCTTTAATTCTTTGTAAAATTACAAATCAAAAATGATAAAGGAAATTCTCAGGCTATGTTGACATGCCACCAGTAAAACTGAGTCAGAATGCTTTGTTTCTATGAAAGTAAAATTATTCTGTTCCTTTAAGAAAGCTGAAACTCCAATAGGGAACACATTACTCACACAGAGCTAGTGTTACTGGGCAGGGGAGGAAGTAAGGTGAGGGGTGTGGAGATGCGGAGATGGCAGCAGCTTCACCCTCTCATCCAATTCAGGCTACGTGTACTCAGTGCTTAGGGGCTGCAATAGGAATTGCAACAAACATTTATGCTACAATTGTCCATGTATTAACAAATTATGTTGTCTTTATGGGGGAATATTTCCCACTTAGAATTAAAAAAATAAAAGTTTATTGAGTCTACTTAGAGATTTGACCTTAAAAAATGAGTTTCCAGCAGATGGCTTCTGAGCCATTCTGTGCTATCATTAAGCACAGGATGATGGCTGATCCTATAAAAGTCCTGTATTCTCATTTTCATTTTAATACAATACATACTGGAGGAAACTGTTTGGCAGGATTCATGAAGAGGGTCATATCTGAGCTTATATTAGATTAAAAATAGGTGGCATTCGTTCCACTGAAATGGGAACCAGGAAGTCATTGGCTTTTACTTAGAAATACACTGATGCAATCATGGAAGGATTTGGTGCACGTACCTGAATATCTTCAAGGGTCATTGCTCTTACTACGAAGCCCTTCAGCTGCTGCATTCTCACGAGAGCCAGTCGGAGCCTGTCGCTGACCATGGTTGTTCTGCCTAGGATGTTAGGCCAGTAGCGCTGGCATTTGATTTTTTCCCCTTCTACTTCTTGGGTCATCATGGCTATCACTGTGGATTTTTGTTCCCAAATCATCTGCCAGAAATCTCCAACGGTTGTTGGGAGAGGTCCTTGGCAGGCAATGTAAACGAACTCTTCTTTGCCCACTGGTACCTTAATGAAGCTGGCGTTGATATAGCCACCTTCATCTCCAAGAGGCACTCTTGTAGCATCGTCTGTGAATTTCCCACCACAAAACAGAGCCATCCATATCATGCATTTTTAAACAAGAGCCTTATAAACAAGGCGAGTCAAAGATTATGAGATTTCCTCATAATCATAGATGAAATCACAAACATTTTAATAAAGGTATATTTTCAAATTATAGTACAGTCAAATATTTTACATTTGCTCATTTCCCTCATGTTACAAGTATATTTAAGATGTCAACTCAGTTAGTTCCTGAGAAAATTCAGTATTGTTCACATAGATTTGGTTGAAGAAATTAAAATTAATAAATTAATAAAAGCATTTAGAACTTCTTAATAGAGAAACACAACTTGGCTACTTCTCCATTGTTCTTTTAATAATGACAACAACAGTGAATTTAGTAAGAATGACGATGTCAAAAATTATTCATGAAAGAAAAATTAGTATTATAGTGAAACTATTAAAGTACTTACTATAAATGTAATTGGCACAATTAAGTCTTGCTTATCTAATTAAATTATATTGTTTTAAATAAGTAGCCAAAATAATTAACACAATAAATAAAAAGGTAGCTCACTTTATTCTCCAGGCATTGTAATTTTATATAGTCAAAATATAAATTTTCAAACCAGACTGCCCCAGTGAAAAGTATATATAAACCATCTTATCCAAGAGGATTACTTTGTATGTACTTATTAGAAGTCATTTCTATTTCAAATATTTATAAATTTAATTTCTGTGATTACCAAATTATGACATTTAGTAATAGATTTCAAAATCCTCCATCAATTACCATTCTATTACTTGACTTCTATCTCTTGGTCCACAGAAACAAATGCACTCAGTAGTTCTGGATTTGTGGCTTATCCCATTCTGCCTTGAGATACTAGTCTGCCCTTTTTTTTTGGCCTACATAGTTACCACCTACTTTATGTCAGACCATGCCCCATTCCATTAAAAAAAATCCTGTCTAAAATTCAATTCTTAAAAGAAAGTTTTCCAAAATGAATTTTGTGTCTTATATCTTGACTGAAAAAATTTAATTGTATTATTATTTACTGCATGATTTGTCACTATTGGTCCTGTTATCTATCTTTGAATTTACGACTTCCTGGCAAAGATAAGGTCAGTGTGTCATATGGTGCAATCTAATAGCTAATATATGTAAATGTGGCTGGTGATTATTATAAGAGGTTGCTAGATGTTACTATTTTAGCTATATACATATATTCATATATATTTAAAAAAATCACATGTTGATTGATGAAATGGGTAAAATATGGGTAAAAATAATTGTTATTTTTTCCTTCCGGTTCTGAAACAATTCAAAGTACAATGCAATTTGATAGTACCACTGTGGCCACATGTGTGTATACAGCTATTATGTACCACAGGCATTTCTCTAAACTTTAAATGGTGGAATAAATAGACTGTCACTGACACATGAACTAAGAAACTGCTTATCCAGAAGTCAACTTATATTTTTAAAAAGACTTTAAAAATTCATGAATGTCTGAAGAAATGTTTAAGATTTCTCTAATCAATTTTCAGAAAACACAGATAATTTTAGAAGAATTAACACTGTATATCTAAATTTATTTGTTACTGATGTAAATCTCTGAGTGTGGGGGTGTGTGTGAGTGCACACTTACGTGAGAGACATAAAAGGTCAACTAGCACATAAGTTTTAAATTATATTGAACATACATTTGATCTGAAGCCAAATTAGAACTTACAGGGAAGTATATTTTTATATCGGTTCTTTCTTCTGTTTTCCTTAGTCTGTCCAATTAGACACTGATCCAAAGGTTTTAATTCTTGGAGATTCTGTAAGCAAAAATGGAAATAAAACGAAATTTGTTGAGATAAGTAGTAATTCAGTAATAATTGCAAATGCTTTAAATGTGCAGGGTGCAAAACTATTGATCAGGACAAACTGTGAGTGTTAAGAAATAGTATGTCCTGTCAAGATAAATAAGCCTAAAGTCCCAATACTAATTCAATATACCAGTTGTTGAAATATACTGTTGCAAATATCTTAAAAATTTTTTTCTAATTCTTAAAAAATTTGTTTGTTTGTTTGTTTTTGTGGGGGGAGGTAATTAGGTTTATTTATTTATTTAATGGAGGTCCTGAGGGTTGATGCATGCTAGGCATGCACTCTACCACTGGGCTCTACCCTGCTCCCCTCATTGTTGCAAATATCTTTAACAAAACATGCTGTAGCAACTAACTTTGTGAGGCAGCACTTTGTACCTTAATTTCAAACTTCAGTTTAAAGATGTCTACAATTTCATGTTAGAAAAAAAGTATAACTTATATAAAAAAAATCTTTGGCTTAAAGTAATAAGCTGGAGCAGAATTTCTTGACCATATTGTTTTTGGGGTCACAGAATATTCCATGTAGTGGAGTTATGGTTAGATAGTCCAAAGCCTCTAAAGTCAACACTTTCTCACTTTTCACTTGTTCATTAATCCAGCCCGCCAGCCAGCCAGCCAGCCAGCCTGCTAGCCTGCCAACTCAACAAACATATATTGAAAGTGCCTACTATATGCAAGGCACTGTAATAAATGCTAGGAATACACCAGTGAGAAAGAAGGTATGATTTGGGCTCTCCTGGAGATTACAGCCTACTGGGAGAAACAGGCAGTAAAGAAGTAAACCACCAAATATTGCGATATATACTTTGAAGAAATTAACAAGCTGCTGTGATTAAAAACAAACAAACATCTACTTAGTAAAGGGTTGTGATGCAAGGTCTCCGAGACAGTGACATTTAAACTTAAGACCTTAAAGAAGAGGTCTCTCCTGCAAAATGGAGAGGAAGAATATAGCTTAACTATCATGAACTTGTTTCCAAATCTATAAAATGGTATTTAACATACTGAAAGCATCAAATACAAAGCATCCAGCACACTGTAGAAGTTCCATTAGAAGTTAGTTCCTTT